ATTACTCGAACTCTATTACTATTTATATTATTTTAATAATTAAATTAAAAATTTATAATTTTTAATAACTTTACAAGTATTTTTTTTGTTAAAAACTAACAAATATATAAAAAGTATAGTTACTTTAATTATTAATATGATGACATTAATATATTTAAATTAAAAAATTATTAGATTGTTAATTATATTTAAACAATATGAATATTATATTATATTATAAAGTAACATAATTACTATTATATTTTTTTAATATAAATATATTTACTTTCTATTTTGTATTAACATTACAAAATTATAACTTATAAATTTATTAATTATAATATATATAACTTTGTTTATATAAACTTATATAAACTTAAAGGGAAGTTGTGAGATTAGAATAGTTCTAAAGCCTAGTTATTTTTTTTAATTTTATATAATTAAGGATAAATTTATATAATTAATTAAATTAATTCATAAAACTATAATTATTAATTAACTTGTAATATCTTTTAATATACACTTTATATATATTAGATTTATTTATAAGAAATATAATTACTATTATATATATTAAAATATTTTTGATGTGTGTCCGTGTGTATATATATGTATATACTTTAAATATAAACATATTTAGTTTCTTATTTTGTGTTAATATTACTAAAATTATAACTCATAAAATTATTAATTATAGTATATATATCTTTTTTTATATAAACTTATAACATATAAATCTAAAAAAAAGTTATGATATTAGAACAATTAATTAGATAATTGGGTACTCATGAAAAAGATTTTAATAATTTTTTTATTTAATCGAGTATTTAAATGAGTTAAGGTAATTATAAGATAGTGAAAATGTATTAAAGTTAAGATTAACATAATAATTTTTTAAATTATTTGAGTAATTAATAGAATTAAAATATTTAATTTTTAATAAAATTAGAGTTGGAGTATCCTACCCGTTGACATTTCCAGTTGAGAAGGGTCTCACAACAGAACCCACAGCAACATCAAAATCATTATGTCGGAAGGGAGCTACTTGGGCAGACCAGCAATAAAATCGACAAAAAGGGCCAAAGGCTAGCCTTGGTTTTTATTAATGTCTCAAATGAAATAAACTCGTGGCAATATTTCTAGGATAAAGTCTACTATTAAATGGGACGTGTTTATTTTCCTAAGTGTTAAATGAAGATGGACCACTCTGCTGAAAAAATATTTCCTTTCATTCAACTATATAGACATATAGATATTACGAAACGTAACCAAATTAAATTGGTTAGAAGGTAGGAAGATAGCAGAAAAGAGGGTTTAAATTCAACTCGTATTCTTCCGACCCATCTTAAATTGGCACCGACATGCGAAACTGATTCAATGGAGGCAACCTAACTGGAGGCGAGGCGGCTCAAAGTCCAGACAAAAGGTAGTTAATTCAAAGGCTAAAACCTTATTTCTCCGTCTAACGCTTTAGTGTAGAGACTGGAGAGTTCCCTCCTTACATTTCGGTAGATTCCAAAGCTTGCTGTACCTAGCATAATTCATTGGGTGGGCCCTAAGCCAGGACTAAACCGAAAAAAGTCGAGATTCCTCAAATGTCTAACTTTCCAGCAACATCTATTTATGAATATCTTCTTTGCCAAGCATAAGAATTAGCTAGAAACTAGAAAAACATGGATTCGGCCCAAGTTGAAATCGGAGAGTTCGAGTGTCCAATTAGAACCCAGCCCAAAGACATTGTTCGGTTTTAGCTCTTGAGCTTATCATTTTTAAGCCCTACACTAGTTTTAGAATTTGCTTCAACTTATAAAAGATTTTTTTGGAGTTTGGATTGTGTAGGCACCCTTAGAAAAGTGGAAATATATCAAAATCTTAAAAAAAGTGACTAAATATAAAAGACGAATTGTGAGTGGGTTCTGATGAGCTTAATCATTACAATTTAGATATTTGATAATAATTTATTTTAATTATATTTGTAGTTATAAGAAATTGATTATAATATCATGTACATTTTTTTAAAAGAATAATATTTTGTTCTTTCATGACCAATAAATTATCACATCATATACATTATTCATATATTCCTTTTATTATTTTTTTTATTGTCTTGATTTTGGACCAGCTTAATTTTTAATTTGATTGTATTGTAATACATTTGTGATTTTAATCAGGGTTTAAATCACAAACAGAGAGACATCGCATGCCTTACAGGTCTTTGAAATTGGTAATTAAATATACCCAACAATCACAATTTAAGGTGTCTTTCTGGATAAAAAAGTTGTTCGTTACACTTCATTTGTTTAAATTAAATGGCAATGAAAAACTACGAGCTCCATGAGGATACATGTGCCAAAGGTCGTCCAGAAAGTCTAACCAATAATGTTAATATCTTTGTCCAAATTTCTTTACACCAATACGATAAGGATTTTCATTTCCTTTTTCCTAATTTCGTAATTTATTTCTAATAAACTATTTAAATTTGTAGCCTATCATAAATCCACAAGTCAGTTGCCTTTTTGGATGTGCATGGGTTGATTGATCATACATGATTCAACATTTATTAAAAATAAAAAAAATAAGGGAAAAAAAAACAAACAACAAAAAGGCATCAACCAGCTCCAATCAGGAGCTTCCTGATTTCCAAAAAATTAAATACCTAATTATCCCTTTGAAGAGAAGAAAGATCGCATTTGATTTGCAACACCAACAAATTAATCACCGTTCCTTGCATTGGACTTAAGCACACAGTACTAAACTTTGTTGTTAAGCTTAAATTCAGAGATAAGTGGCTTGGGTTTGAGAAAATTAAGATTAATCTAATTCAAGACATCAAGTGTTGATATTCTTATCTTATGGAAAAGATTAAAATGTCCCTTTATTTTTTTCTTTTTACTTTACATTATGTTGGCAGCGGGTTTAAAGCCTGCGAAAAGTGGAAGAACAGTGTGTTCAATCTCATACGACACATGAGCAAACAGTTGCAGAAGTACAGCGGCTGCGAAACCGAAAAGCCCACCTCACCAGCTGGTAATTAATAGACAGACACCTGTACAAAGCCCACAAGATCTCCTACAAATAAAAATTTTCTAAAGCAATATCTCCGTCAAAGTACAATATCTAAAGAACGAAACTTCAAACCAACACTGTAAGCTGGATTGCAGCAGATCAAACGGTCTCATCATCGATCGCCAACCTGACCTCCACCTTCCACTCTGCAAATCACCTTACAAAACTACTACTCTCTCTAAGCTCGTTGTTAAAGAATTCGTCTCCCCCGTTTATTCAAAACGAAATTTTCTGATCTTATCGGCTTATTGAGTGTCGGTATTGGCTTTCTGCAGAGAAAACAATGGAGAGTTTTACACTAACGGAATCACTGAAGCAGGTCGCTGGAGAATTCCCTCACCGTCGCGCCGTCTCAGTTTCAGGTAAGTTTGATATAACCTATTATAAGCTCCATGAAGTCATTGAACTTGCAGCTTCTAGGCTTTTATCTAATGGGATCGGTGCTGGCGATGTCGTTGCACTCACTTTCCCTAATACCATCGAGGTTAATTTGCTCTCCTTCTTTAAATAATTCCTTCATATTTTTTTGATTTGCGAAATGTTCTTTGAAATTTCCTGCTATATGTTTTTACAGTTTGTTATAATGTTTTTGGCTGTAATACGAGCTCGAGCCACGGCTGCGCCATTGAACCCTGCTTACACTACTGAAGAATTCGAGTTTTACCTATCCGACTCAGAGTCCAAGCTTTTGTTAACCTCAATTGAAGGCATCAGCTCAGCACAAGCCGCCGCTTCCAAGCTCAAAATTCCTCACGCCACAGCTACCCTTCATGATGCGGATTCTGAACTCGCCCTTTCCCTGTCTCAACAAGACTCAGACGTCAACTCGGTCAGCAAACTCACGAATGAACCATCCGACGTAGCACTCTTCCTCCACACTTCAGGCACCACAAGCCGCCCTAAAGGCGTTCCACTGACTCAGCTCAACTTGGCATCCTCGGTTAAAAATATTAAATCGGTTTATAACCTCACCGACTCTGACTCAACCGTGTTAGTCCTCCCGTTATTTCACGTCCACGGCTTGATAGCCGGGTTGCTGAGCTCACTTGGAGCGGGTGCAGCCGTGACTCTCCCTTCCGCTGGCAGGTTCTCCGCCTCAACATTTTGGCAAGACATGAACAAATACAAGGCCACGTGGTACACTGCCGTCCCTACGATACACCAGATCATACTGGATCGCCACTTGGGCAATCCAGAACCCGTTTACCCGAAGCTCCGATTCATTAGGAGCTGCAGCGCTTCACTAGCACCGGCTATACTGGCTCGGCTGGAGGAGGCGTTTGGGGCGCCAGTTTTGGAGGCTTATGCCATGACCGAGGCAACCCATTTGATGGCGTCCAACCCGTTACCAGAAAATGGGCCGCATAAGGCCGGGTCGGTGGGGAGACCCGTGGGTCAAGAGATGGTGGTTTTGGATGAAAATGGTGTGCCGCAAGTGGCAAATGTTAATGGGGAAGTGTGTATTAGAGGATCAAATGTGACTAAGGGCTATAAAAATAACCCTGAAGCTAATAAATCAGCTTTCCGATTTGGGTGGTTCCACACTGGTGATCTTGGATATTTTGATCCGGACGGGTATTTGCATCTTGTGGGTCGGATAAAGGAGCTCATCAACCGTGGAGGTAAACTATATTATTTTCTGTTTATATTTGATACATTATTAATATCTAGTCAGAATTCATTTTGTCCAATGTTTTACTATTTTTACTAGTATTTGTTTTTAAATAGAATCAAATTAGATAAAATATAATATCATAATTGATAATTAAATATGGACAAATAATTAAAATATCACACTAATTATGATATAATTAGTTTAATGATGAAACAATTTATAATTGATAAACAACACAAATCATATTCGGTGTAATAATTAATAATTTTAGTATTATTATGTGCAAATTAAAGTCCTCTTATTTGAAAATCTCCTAAACAGATGTTAAAATTGTTAATGTTTTGTTTATTTGAAGGTGAGAAAATATCGCCAATAGAAGTAGATGCAGTGCTTTTATCTCATCCAGATGTTGCCCAAGTAGTTGCTTTTGGAGTCCCTGATGACAAATACGGGGAAGAGGTAAGTTCACAAAACTAATATATTTGGCAGCTGCACGTAATGTAGTAGTATTGAAATAGCACCACAATCCTGAAAAGAATATTCGAGTCGAGTCCTTCGTATATAGACCAAGACACGTTGCATCATGCATGCATGATCTGGGATACAGTGCGGTGGGAAAAGGCCCCACCCCTGATGCTTACAGCTACCAGAGAAAGTATCAATTTGTGACAAAACCCACCTCAGGCTGTATATCAGAGAATCCTTTTTGCTGATTAATTCCGTAGTGGAGAAAAGGACATCTAACTGTTCAAGATAGGGTGTTATTCCCTTGTTTCTTGTGATTTTAAAGTGCATTACCCAGATGAGACGTTTGTTGATCTTTTCACGGCCATGGATAGAGACGTAAGAGTAGTCCTGTGATGCCAAAAAGTATAGTAAATGCTATGGGATGTTATTGTTATAGAAACTAGTTATATGATCATATTGGAAATTTTAGTTAACTGTATGTTATTTTCTTGGAGAAAGGAATTGATGCTGATTATTTTGTGTTGGATGGTCATCTGCATGACCAACAGATCAATTGCGCGATCGTTCCAAGAGAAGGATCGAATGTTGATGAGGCGGAGGTGCAGAGATTTTGCAAGAAGAACCTAGCAGCTTTCAAAGTCCCTAAGAAAGTTTTCTTCACCGACGCTCTCCCAAAGACTGCCAGCGGGAAAATCCAGCGGAGAATTGTAGCCGAGCACTTTCTTGCTCAAATCTCGACGGCTAAGGTTCCCAAGTTTGGAGCCTAAAGCACACACCATATCTATCTGCGCGCAGTTATATCTTGTGGGAAACGAGAGACCAGCTCCTTTGCTGTTACTATTTTTTACTGTGTAATTATTCTCTTTGTAATTCCAAGACAAATATTAAAAATAACTTAAGAAACGGAGAGAGGAGATTTAGTGGCATCTATAGAATATTAGAATTGCTGAGTTCCCTCTGGTAGAGCTGGATTCTGAATATCAGCAATTTAACACTTCTGCATGCTATATACGTAGTAGAGTTCCACTGCTACATTGGCTCTCTGATCCTCGGAGGCAGTCCAAGATATTAACATTTCCGAGACAAATTAATTAAAGCTTAAACAAATTCTAGGACTCTTAAAAATTAACATGCCAACAAATTTAAAACATTCCACAAGGCTCGTCCAGCATCATTTCAACTAATCCATAAATCGTATTAGATTTTCTCTGCAATCCCAATATCACCCAGCAGAGTGCGAGCAATACAGGGGAAGGTCACAATTAATAGTTGCATGTCATTATAGTTAGAAATGGTTCAGTTTTCATATCTATTTTTTTGCGAAGTGGAAGCAACCTTCTCCGAAAAGGAATCTAGGAACGGTTGTCAGCGACTAAAGTGGCCCAGCACCGTCCGGAAGCCGCAAGCATTGGAAAAAGGAAACCAGTAAGCAAAGCAATTCAACCTAGCTAGCACAAAAATGAACAGCGTGATTTAACAAAGAGCAAGTCCACAAAAACAAATTTGAAGATATATATATATATATATATATTGCTAGCTGGTAACCTATTGTAACTACACTGTCTCTTTGTCATCGAAATTCAACATGATCAACCAGGAAAAGCTGCCCTTGCAAGTGATTGAAACTAACTACAGGATTCAACTGAACAGGTACACTGTACAAAGCCATGGATAATAGCATAATCTGCAGGAATTGCGTATCCTCTGAAAACCAAAATTCCCACAAAAAGCCATCTACCAAGTGCAAGAAACTAACTATTGACACTATGCAATTTGAGCCACCCTGCTACGATAGGGTGGAGTCAGTTGCAGTGAAAAGTCAGATGTCATTATCAAAATCAGCACATACCGTTTCCACTGTTATAACTTTACTAGAAGTTTCTTGACTTACCAGAATTCCACATGACTTGAGCAGGTCATGGCCACATCAGCTTCCTAAAATGACATCCCTGCTTACTTCATCGAGGGTTCATGAATTTCACTACGCTGTGATTGAAAGGAAATGTGCTGGATGGACCAAGGTGAATCACAGCCAATTGTTTCGAGGGACGCTGCTCCAGCGGAATATCAAATGAATATCAAATTACATGTCTCCGCTTTGACAAATGTTTAACACCAAAAGAAGGTAAACTTTAAGAACTTACTCTGTAGTAGATTGCAGCTGATTAAAACATTCTGTTCGTTAACTTTAGACTTTCAGCACGTGACTAGACTTCTTCAGGTCGAGCCTACACCCTCTACCGTGCAAAATCTCCCTATTAAAGCCCCTCTTCTTTCTTATGGGCTTCGTGGAAAAACCCTCAATTTCTCTATCACTGTATTAATGTTAATGTACACTTGGGCTGAAAGCAACCCGGAAGAGAAAAGCATGGACACTCTTACACTATCAGGATTACTGACGCGCGTTGCCAGAGAATTCCCTCACCGGCGAGCCCTGTCAATTTCTGGCAAGTTTGATATAACGCATTCTCGGCTCCAAGAACTCGTCGAACATGCCGCTTCCAGGCTAGTCACTGCTGGGTTTGGGAGAGGCGATGTTGTTGCGCTCGCCTTCCTTAATACCATCGAGGTTTGCTTTCAAGCTTTGTTTCTTTTCATTACTAGAGCACTACTAATTTTCTGTGTATAACTTTTAGCTCTTACGTTGTACTATATTTTCTCTGTCATTACAGTTTGTAATAATGTTTTTGGCCATAACTCGACCTCGAGCCACGGCTACGCCACTCAACCCGGCATACACCACTGAAGAGTTCGAGTTTTACCTATCTGACTCAGAGTCCAAGCTTTTATTAACTCCACAGAGCGGCAACACCTCGGCTCAAGCCGCGGCATCCAATCTTAGTATCCCACACGCCACAGCCACCTTTATCCCTGCTGATTCTGAACTCGTTCGCTCCCTGACTCATTCCTAACCAGCCCCAAACTCGATCAGCGAACTCATTAATGACCCGTCTGACGTGGCACTCTTCCTCCACACTTCTGGCACCACAAGCAGCCCCAAAGGCGTGCCATTGACTCAGCTTAATATAGTCTCTTCTTTTAAGATACTATATCCGTTAACAAACTTACCAAGGATGACTCATCCTGTTAGTCCTTCGACTATTTCACGTTCACGGCTATTGAAGGGTTTGTTGTCCTTCTCGGGCCTGGGAGCCTGGCAATTCCGGCCGCTGGCATATCTCGGCTTCAACATTTTGGCGAGACGTGAAACAATATAAAGCAACGTGGTACTCCGCGGTGCCCACAATTCATCAGATCCTACTCGAGCGCCACGTGGCAAACCCGGAATTCGTTTACCCGAAGCTCCGATTCATTAATAGCTGTAGCGCGTCGCTTGCTCTGGCGATTCTAGAGCGGCTGGAAGGGGCATTTGGGGCGCCGGTCTTGGAGGCTTATGCCATGTCTGAAGAACCGGGTTGAGGGCTACGAACCTGTTGGTGAAGATGGGCCACATAGTCTGAGTCATTGGGGAAACCCGTAGGTCGAGAGGTTGTGATATTGGCTGAAATGGTGTGGCGCAAGAGGCTACTGTTAGAGAAAGCACACCCACGTCAGAGGATGGCAGAAGAAACGAGTCCCAACTAAATTGTGCTCATATATATACCATAAATTTTTTTATAGAAATATAATACTAGATCCACTTGTCCCAATCAATATAACCTCGAGAAAGCTGATATGTCAAAAATTTTAATTGGAGGAATGCTAATCTTCTTGCAGATAAACTGCGCAATCGTTCCACGAGAAGGATGGAGTATCGGTGAGACAGAGCTGCAGGAGTTCTGCAGGAAAAATCTTGCAGCTTTCAAAGTTCCCAAGAAAGTTTTTATAACCGATTCTCTCCCATAGACTGCCAGCGGGAAAGTCCATCGTAGATTATACGCACAACTCTTCCTGGCTCGTATCTGCACCTCTGAGTCCCCGAACTTTTACCTGAGTAAAAATACTATCTGCAGTTCTGCACTGATTTTATGTGTGCAAGCGAAAGCCATTACAATCCAAACAGATTGGATGGGGAGGGTAACTTCATTCGCTCAATCTAGATCCTAATGCATTTAACGAATAAATCAGAGTAGTTCCTGAACGGTAATGCTTGTCTAATACTTTATGAAATTGGATTCTTGGTTTCACTCCGTAGAATCCTAAGTTAGTATCGTGAATTTTTGGTTTAGACCAAGTTACTAACGAGTTTTCTCACCAAGTTTGGGAAGTCACTGAACAGACTGTCGTCACTTTGATATCTTTTGACAAAACCAGGAACTTGGCAATTGTGAAATTATGAGACACGACAAGAACAGAAGTCTATCATACAGCCTGCAGGAGGAATGTTCTCCTTAAATAAGAAAAAAGAAATGGTAATTAAATGCCAAATGAGAACCTACACACTTCTCTTCAACCAAGGCAGATTAACATTTACCAAAAATATCATGCAACACAACCATTGCAAATGATTTAATGTGAAAATCCATATGCATTCACTAACTATTGATGGTAAAGATGTTCATAAACAAAACTCTCTAAACAACCATAAGCAAACAAACCATAGGCCAGGAACTAGCCACATAACCATCCAAACACCCAAACAAGTATTCAGGTAAAAAAAAAAACTCCACAATATTAAGGCAGAAACAAAAAGCCAGACAGAAACACACTACTATTAGGCGCCGCCTGAAGTTCCTCATCCTCTTCCTCATGTCATACCCTCCTCATCAGCTGTTGCATCTTGGTATTGTTGGTACTCAGAAACCAGATCATTCATGTTGCTTTCAGCCTCAGAAACTCCATCTCATCCATACCTCTCCCAGTGTACCAATGCAAGAAAGCCTTCTACGGAACATAGCTGTGAACTGCTCACTGACTCTCCGGAACATTTCCTGATTGAAGTGAGTTTCCAATGAATGTTGAGGCCATCTTCAAACCAGTTGAGGAATATCACAACAGTAGACTTCACATTATTGGGGATCCACTCACAAGATAGGATGAGTTCTTGTTCTGCACATTAATCATCTGTTCATCAACCTCCTTGTGCTCATCTGCCACGGAACATGGCTGAAGCAGTCAAGTATCGACCATGGCGAGGATCAGCAGCACACATCATGTTCTTGGCATCCCACATTTGTTGAGTGAGCTCTGGGACAGTAAGGGCCCTGTACTGTTGGGACCCTCGAGATGTAAGTGGAGCAAAGCCAACCATGAAGAATGCAGCCGAGGGAATGGAATAAGATTAACAGCAAGCTTGCGCAGATGTGATTGAGTGACCAGGGAAACGGAGGCAGCAAGTTACCCCACTCTAGGTGGCAGAAATCAGTGGTTCAAGTCTCCACTGCATTCAACAGAAGCCAGTGCTGAGATCAACAGAATTTTCACAACCAACTTAAAGGAAACATGCATCAGCAGGATAAAAAATGCCAAGAGCATAAAAGGTCTTTTGACTACAGCTTGAGTGAGGTGAGCTTGAGAGTCGGAAGCAAATATCATACAAAGCTTCATTATCCAAAACCATGCATTCATCTGCATTCTCAACAAGCTGGTGAACAGAGGAGTGGCATTGTAAGGTTCAACAACAGTGTCAGACACCTTAGGGGATGGGAACACAGAAAAGGTGAGCATCATTCTTGTCGGGTATTCTCTCTGATCTTGGATGAGAAGTGTTCCCATGCCTGACCCAGTCCACCTCCAATGAGTGGCATACTTGAAATCCTGAAAATTTTTGAAGAAAGAAAAATGATTACTAAATCATAATCAACAAGAATGGATGCCAGGTAATATAGGAAGGCAAATTCCAATCCAAAACTAGGCGACACCTTCACGACATTTTAAATCACCATCGCATGTTTTTAAGAACCATCTAGCTCTACATTGAAATAAACGATCTAAAAGGCATAAAAACAGGTTTTCAAGCTACATTGAAGTTAATATTATTTATCAATTCTTTAAGCAACCAAACAGAGAATCTTCATTATGAAAATTGAATTTGTTGTACAATGATTTTACAAAAAAAAACATTGGAGTAAAAACTTAAAATACACAAAAAAACAGGAAATACCTCGATAGAGTCCATAAATCTTTAGACCAGAGGCAAGCATGTGAGATACTTTTCAAATCACTTTTCCAGATAACATTTACTTTAAGTAATCACAGGAAATCAATCATATATTAAGTTGAAAAATCAATTTAAACATGCAAATAAACCCCAAAAACCTCCATAAATTATCAGATTCGCACTAAATATCTAAAGTAATATCCAAAAACCATTTAAAAAACCAAACAATACAAGAAGTGAAGCCACGAAATCCTTCTTATTCATACTCCTCTCTCAAAACAACAAAACCAGAAAACGAAAACAACGCCTTAAAAATTTAAAGATCATTTTACCCTGCAAGCAGTCACAGTTCTCGGCTTCTTTCCTCACCACATCAAGCACTGAGTCAATCAACTCAGCCCCTTCCGTGTAATGACCCTTGGCCCAGTTATTCCCCGCCCCGGACTGCCCGAAAACAAAGTTGTCGGGCCTGAAAATCTGCCCGTACAGCCCCGATCTAACACTGTCCATAGTGCCAGGCTCGAGATCCATAAGGACAGCGCGTGGAACGAACCTCCCGCAACTCGCTTCATTGTAGTAAACATTGACGCGCTCCAGTTGCAACTCGTTGTCTCTTGGTAGCCCCGTGGAATCTCTCCGTGCTCGGCCAAACCACCTCCCAAAACTTGGCACCGATCTGGTTGCCGCATTGGCCTCCCTGAATGTGAAGAATCTCACGCATTTTCCCCAGATAAGAGGTTTCAGAGAATGAGAGCAGAAGTTTTTGAGTGGAGGGTTATTCTTTTATGGAGGATCGCGAGAGATTTGTTGTGGAAATGAAAGAGAAAATGAGGGGTTATATAGGAAGGAGATGACGTAAGTGGTGTTCGCCGTTAGGGTTGACGGAAGGGAGTGACAGTCGTCTGATTTTTAAGGGGGATTTGAATTTTGAATTTTTGAGGGAAAAAAAAAACCCTGGGGTTTTGGGTTTAATTAGAGCGTGATTTTTACGCGTACCTGATGGGATTGAGACTGGCGCCCTTGCGGCATGCGGAAGAAAGTGGGGGTACGAAGAAGTGTTTGTGTGTGTCTCAATGCCTTCTTGTGCGTGCGTGGGCACGAGGGTGGAGAATGGGGGCACGTGATTTTTGGGAGGAACATGTGACCTGCACTTTGGCTTAAAGAAGCAGATGTACTGGCAAGGGCGTGTTTGCGTGTCTCAAAGAAACTTAGTAGTAGGTATTTTTCTTTTTAATAAAAACATTTAGTAGTAGAATTTTGTTGGATCTATAAGCTTCTATACATTTTTTTTGTTTAATTTACTACATCTAAAACCTTAAATTGCTATGCTCTAATATTCATGAAATTAATATCATTATATAAAAAAATTTATGCTTGTATAATAATATAGAAAATGTTAATGATAGTTTATGCACTTTATACTTTTTCTATTCAAAATGAAAGGAAACACCAACATTGTGAAACCTTTTTAACGAAGTGAATATAACCATAAACTAACAAATGCAAATTTTATGCTTACTTGTTTTTGCTGAAGCAATTTGTTTATGCAAATTCAGTCTATATAGGAATAGATAGTGTACGATTGAATATCGATAGTTCATTTGTTTTTTTTTTATTTTGTTTTATGACATTTCATTTATTATTCTCAAAAATTTTAAAAACTTTTAGTTAGTACTTGAGATTTAGATGCATTGAAACTCCATTATCATGCACACATGCAAAGTTCATTTGCAAAATTATTAACAATCTTTAAAATAAATAGTAGAATTGTTTGTAATACTTACTTGCTACAAATGGCCAAGCAAACCCTAGATTGTCTATCTGTTTAGCCTTTATTCTCATTTTTCTCATGTAGTCATAATACAATCCGTTGGAGGCTGATTGCAATTGCATAACAAACGTGGCCTTTACTCAGACAAGGGTAGGCCCCTTTTGGGCGTTTCTGAAACTCAAGGAATAAAGGGTGGGGATGGTGAGTCATGGACGAAAAGAGAAGCAAAGTAACCATCAAACCCAACATCATCAGGTGACGGAGTGAGAGCAGGTGCAGTGATCACCAGAACCCTTCATAACAAAGCTAAACAAAATCCAATTTTTCGATAATGGGTCCAACGCCCAACTGAAAGTACAATCATTCCCAAGAACATGATACGAACAGGTTTTATCTGCAATCTGAATCTCTAAATGTTTCATTAGCCTTTGATGGAAAAGTAAACTGCGAATCCAACAACATTTTCCAATTATTGCTGTCTAATAATTCACTCAACCACATCATCTAAACATTCTAGAAGCAGGGGAAGGTAAAGGGTTTGGACTGTAACTCATAAAAAAAAAGAAGACTGTTATTGGATAGTGTTGTATCTTAATCGAGCTGTCACAACCACTGGCTCCAACACATTGCGGGAAAATTGCCTCTGCTTGTTAAAAAATGGTTGATTAGGCTCCAACACAATAATTGACAACATCTATATTTTCAGAAAGGGCAAAAGCAAAATAAATAACAAAAAGAAATGGATGATGGAATTTTATAAATTATTTGTTTAGTGCATATTAAAATCTATTAGATTTTAAGTTAATCATTCAATGAGAATTGAAAGAGTATTTTGATAATTAAACTTTAACACTTTCATTTTAAAATTTCAAATTTGAATACTGAAAAGAAAAAATATATAAAATAAGAGATAAATATTTCTCTTTATAAATTTAAATTGACATAATATATGAAAAATCTCCTAAACTATTTAAAATAATTCAAATAAGTCTTTATAGTTTTATTATATTTAAACAAATCATTATATTTTTATTTTAAGTCAAATAAGTTTTTATGTTTTTATTTTAAATCAAATAAGTTGTTATTTTTAATAATTGACTCAATCAAAAATTTATTTATCATTCAATGTTACGTGACGTTAACATAATTTATTAATATATAATAATTGATTATTATGTGATATAACGACATATCATAATTGATGATAATATGATATGTTAATTTAACATGATAACATGATTATATAATATTTTTTACTATTCACATTAACGATCAAAAAATAAACTATAAATAGGCTTGATTTAACCTGAGTTATTGTCTATTAACACCACTATTTCAAACATATATCAATAAATAATTTTCTTCAAACGCATTCTATGCCCCAGTTATAATAGTTTTGCTACAAAATTGTAAAACCTACTAGATAAGGATGTGGATGGATATTTTAGGTCAAATTATATAAATTTTTTGGTATTTTGTCAAAGCATTAAATTTATTTTTTATATAATAATTGATAAAAATTAGATCATTGTATTTTTCAAAATTAAAAATATCAATCTAATAATTAATGATGTTAAAATTTTTTCATTATATATACTAGCATGCATTTGATTATATTGACATAACATATTTATGTTGATATAGTATTGAAGAATGATACAATAATTATGTTTACGTGATATTGATTAAACACGTATATAAATTTTAAAATGATAATGTGATGTTAATTTAATATTATTATATTATTGATTTGACATTTTTGCAATTTAGACCTAACAACATCTAATTAGACAATTTCATATTGTCACTTAAAAAATTCGTATCATTTTCTCTTTTAACTAAATAGAACATATATTAGGTAAGTGAAAAAATAAGTTTTTCATGCTCTTTAAAAGCAATGTATGGTTAAAATAAGATAACAAACTCATAAGATGACACGTTAGTAGTATAATAGCTCTACGTTACCATTTAAAATTTATGTTTAAATTTTATTAATGTTATGTTAGAATAATCATTATATTATTTTTGAATGTTATGTCATCGAATTTAATGTCATGTCAATACACTTAAATGTAATGTTAGTATAGATAGTAAAAAAAATTTAACACCAATAATTAAATTGACATTATTAATTTTGAAAAGTATATGAATTTAACTTTTACAATTTGTTATATAAAGATTAAATTCACTATTTTGACAAAATATAAGGATTAATTACATAATTTAATCAATATCTTATAACTGGATATCATGCATTACTTAGTCGATTAAATAAAATTAGAGTGCTCTATAATTGGGTTTGAACAGTAAAATTGTTACCATCGCAAGTTGAGATAAAATTCGAATAGTGATGTTTGAGTACCCATTATTCGATTTTGATTATAAATAATAATTTATAATGTTAAAATTTATTTTTTATATATTATTTTATTTATAAATTCTTTATTATTTTAAACTTTAGTTTATTTTTATGAATTAATTTTATTTATTAATTATAATATATATAAAAAATAATTTTTAAGTTATTTTAATCAGGTATTTGACAAATAGGTTTATTTAATAGATAATGTTCAAGATATTCACATATGAATTTGAATAATAATTAAAATTTTTAATTAAATATGTACAATTTTTTTAAAAAAAAAATTGTAAGAGAGTTTGATATCCTACTAATAAGATTTAATTGAAGATATTTTATTATTAAAATATGTGTTTAAAATGTTATTAAAAATATTTGTAAACATTTAAACATTTAATTTATTGAGTAATATATTATTTTTATATTAATAAAAAAACAAAAGTGGAAGGAAGTGTTGGGGTTAAAAAATCACGCGCAAGGCATGTGTTTTGCAAGACTTGACAGCCAAAAAAATCATTGTGTTTGCCCGTAGCGGATCAAAAGTCCTTAGCGAACCCTTTTTGGTTACCTTCTCCGTTCAACCAAATACCCTCCTAAAACCCTTGCCTCTGCTTCGACACCCTTTTCTCTCTATTTGCAGCTTCCAATTCAACATGGCGAACAAAAGACAGAAATTAGCTCGCAAGCAATACAAAGAAGCACACCCTGATCTGTTTCCGTCCCCAGAGCCAACCCCAGCGAAAGACCCAGACAAGAAGAAGAAGAAGAAAAATAAGAAGAGCCAGTTCAAGCGCGAAAAAGAAGAGTCCAAAGAGCCTAAACACCTTAATAAACCCTACAAAAAAGGGATTAGAAAACACCCACTTAGAATTCCCGGCATGAAGCCTGGTGAAAGTTGCTACATATGTAAAGCCAAAGATCATATCGCCAAGCTTTGCCCCCAAAAAGCTCAATGGGATAAACATACGGTTAGATTTTATATTGCTTTCTACTTTTTTCCTCTTTAATTTGGAATTTTATGAGTTTCTATTTTAAAAAAAATCTTTTGATGTTTATAGATATGTTTGCTTTGTCGTCATCGTGGACACAGTTTGAAGAACTGCCCTCAGATTATGGATAAAAAGTTGTGTTACAATTGTGGAGAAACTGGACATTCTCTATCGAAGTGCCCTCAACCTCTTCAAGATGGTATTTTGCTTCTTTGGATTTTATAACTTGGAATGCTTGACATTGGTTTTTTCTCTCCAAGATTCTATAAACTTGTGCACAAAGTTAGGAGTGTTAGTTTACCATAGAATTTTGGTTACGTTTTTAAAATTTATGTGTAATTTAGGGCAAAAGTTTTGTTGAAAGTGTTCTGTTTTATTATATTTAGTGTTTCAGTTCATTGTTCCTTGATAGATGGAAATGCTTATCTTGAAAATGAATTTGGTACTGACTTTGTTGTAGTTTTTAGTACTATAAGATATGATTTAGGCTAGGGAATTTCTGTTCTTGAAGGCTTGTATTTGTAAGGAACTCATCAAGGGAAAGCTCTACTTCAATTATCATCTGTAAATGTATCATGTATGTTTTCTACAAATGACATAAGTTAAAAAACTTGTTTCACGCTGGCAATTATATTTTGTTTGTGTTTGAGGCTTCTCATCATTTATTGCCATGAATGATGATTGTTCTCTTTCATATTGCAGGGGGAACTAAGTTTGCCAAATGTTTTATTTGTAAGGAAATTGGACATTTGAGCAAGAACTGCCCAAAAAATACTCATGGAGTCTATCCAAAGGTATATTTGAGTAAATTGTTTGTAGCTTTTTTATTTTGTAAGTGCAGCGTCTCTAGTATTCTTGGTAAGCAGACTACATATATATGATGTGGATGTTTATTAGTTTAAGTTTCAATCCGTTGCAGGAATCTTTTTTCTTTAGGAAATCAGACACCTTGAATTTCTTTTTTCTTTTGTTTGCTCTCTATAGGGTGGTTGTTGCAAAATATGTGGTGGTGTAAGCCATTTAGCCAAAGATTGTCCTGATAAAGGCAAAAAAGCATCTGCTGCAACTTCCAGAGGTGGTGCATGTAAGTTTTTTTACTACCAATATTCAGGGTTTATCCCAACTGTTCAGTTATTTGTTTATATTTTAGTGATTTTGAAGATTACAGAAAGCAGAGAGCATCTAAGTAATGTAATTGAATAACAAGGTTTACCCCGAATGAACCCTGGGTTTCATTCAATGGTTTTTATAAGTGTTGTACCATTTAGTAAGCTTCTCTAATTACTCCAAACCCAAAGATAAACTTTTGGTGTCTGATGATGAGAAGTAAGTTTCAGGTCTGAATTTTTTTTTCCTTTTTATTTTTCTTTTGTTTGTGTGTGTGTGTGTGTGTGTTGGGAGGGTTGAAGGAATTGGACTCTCAAAATGAAACTTGATCAGAGGCAATTGAATTGGCTAATAGGAGCTTAGCATTTAAGAGAGAGGTGATATTGTTCTAGTGCTGTTGAGTTCTAAGTAAATCTTGAACACTGATTTATTGTTTGTGATCCTGTGTAGTATACCTGAGATCCTTATATCTTGATGAGGACTTTGGCAAGAATATCTAGTAAACTTTTTTTTTTTTTGTAGTGACTTGACAAAAGAAAAGTGGAAAAAAAGTATTTTTCAAATTTTCACAACGTATTTGAGGTTATTGGTCTTCTTCTTGTTGTTGTTGTCAAGCTATGATAAGAAGTTGAAATGACTGGTAAAAAACCAATCTGAATAAGAATCTCAATCCTTTGATGCTCTGCCCTTATACCATGTTGTAGGATTGCTGGTAATGTGATAGAAAGTGCTTTGCAGCGGATTTAGTCCTTTGCTTTTGCATTTCATTTGCTTATGCAGCATAGCAAGAAATTACATAGTTTGTGTGATACATTAGATGGGAGTGTGGTATATTTGGGGATTTTAAGCGTGATTTGGACTTTCCCTGGTGCTGGTGACTCATGGCCTAAAAATGTCATGTGTCACTGATTTTTATTTTTGAGAATTTTTTATTTTTGAAATTCTATATCAGCAAAACTTACATGTCAGATCCAAATCATGGCCATGTCAGCAACATTAAGGGCTCTCTTTTACAGTGTTAGCAACTATCCTTGATTTGACACATTTCTAAGAGTAGAAGGTCTATGTTGATGAAAATTGGGGTAGAGGACTAAATTGAACATTACGTGCTAGTACATGGGCCTACCAGTTACTTATACCGAATAATATAGCATAGATTCTAATAATTGGTAGGAGTATAGCTAGGATAATTGTGTGGATTATATAGTGACTATAGAATTGGGAGTTTAAGGTCAAAAGAGTTATAAAGCTATAGCCACTTTCCTGCTATAATCTGTCAAGTTATTTTGTGATGATTGATGGACGTAAAATCCATGCTGGCAAAGTAGATGACCTGTGGGGAGTTTTTGTCTCCTATTCTTGTCATCTAATGGCATCATATTTTTGCTCTTCCTGTATGTGCAAATACAAGGTGTATGCTTATCTATGTGTGAAATGTTAACCTTATTCTTTGTATCATTTCCTGATTTCAGCATTCGAACATGGAGAAAGGCCTGCAGGGCAGGTGACAAAATTCATTAGTGGTGATGATCTTGATGATGACTTCGTTACAGCAGACTTTACGTCAACAGAAAATGTTGCTTCTGATGCAAAAGATGCTAAGATAAAATCAAAAAAGAAACAAGGGCCTAAAGTGGTAAATTTTGTAGGATGAAAATTTTCTTCCAGTGAATTTCATGAGTAGTATTTATGATCTCTGCTGACAGATGATTGCTATATTTCAAATATGTTCTATGGTGTTTCAAATATATTTTCTTCCTCTGTCAGTATTGCTTCTTAAGGACTTGATTTTTTTTTTCCAAGCCACTAACACTATTTCTGATGTATTTTTATGTTTGGTCCTGTTTTTTCTTTTTTTTTGGATAGAATGTTTGGTCCTTGTTCCAATAACATTGGGAATTATTCATTCTCCCTTAACGGGATGAATTCAATCTATCAATATCGCAGACAGTTCATTTCTGGCTGTGCAAGACATCAGCATTCTTTTACTTTTGGCCTTCATATGATGATTAGGGTAATTAATAACTCATCTGCAATTTCAAAAGGATATAATTATCTGTGAGACCTACCTTTCCCCGATCTAAACAATTTATGTTGCAAGCTCAGCCTGATCTGCCAGACCATTTGATGGGTGAGGATGGGTCCGCCTGGGGGGAATTTTCTGATTTCTTAGTTGTAGTAGCTTTGTGTACTTTCATTGGTTGATTATCATTAATACTGCATCAAATATAGACTACTTTATTGGTATTTGTTTACTTAAGACTGTAAGGCCTAAGCCAACCCCCACCCAGAAGATGGAAAGAAGAAACTTCTAGTTTGTAAATGGCTGCATTGGGAGGGCATGCTGCGACCTTGATCGTTCTTGATGTAAGTGTAGCAAACGTTGAGAAGAGAAATAGAAGGAGATCGAGCTGGAGCCAAAGCCTAAACTTCTATCAGGAAACCTTATATAAAATGTCAAAGGAAACAAGAAAACTTTACTCAAACTGATAAAAATAGCCAAAAAAAGATTGGCCATGCAACCAGCAACGTGGTTTCCTGATAATCTACACAAACTGTTGTTGTGGACATGATTAGCCTTCGAATCTGGGAGAGTGTCCACCCTTGTTTTGACCTGAAATTTCTCCTCACCACCGCATATGTCTCGCCTCTCAATATCTCCCCTGAATTAAGGATCTCCTACTTTCCTACCCCATTCTACATTTCTCTCTTCCATTTTCCATCTTTCTTTCTTCTTCTTCCTCTTCATTTCTCACAAGGCTTGTTTCTCTTTGGACAACAAAATGGTAAGGTTTCTTTTCCAATGTTTCTATCTTTTGAAAGATCATGTTATTCAGATTTTCCAATATTTGAAATACCAACTTTGTTTGTTATGATTTTCCTCTCATTGTTTTATTCAATAGAAATAGGAAATATCCTAGAGGCCACCTTCTTTTCTAAGTTGTTGAAACTTAGAATTAGAAGGTGCTAATTACAAAGCAAAGAGAATCAGAACTGAAGGAAATGTATGCAAATTGGTAAAATATATATTGTATTTGGTTTCACTATTAAAAAATGTTGTTAAGAAAGTTTAATACGATCAAATCTTTGAACATCTCCTATGGAATTTAAACATATATACTTTTATCTTTCTTTCTCAATCATTTTAAATCAAGTCTAGGATTTCATGAGCCCTGAGCTAATCAGACGTGTCAATTTCAGCTAAGCCTTTTTTAGACTTTCAAACACATTCAGAATATTCTTCAAATATTAGGCCAAAGTCACCGATTCAGTGCAACTTTCCAGGGCCAATATTGTTTCATATCATGTTAGAAAAGGTTTTCTGCTAAAAACATTTTAACAGACTTATCAAATTAGAATAATGCAAACGTTGCAATCATCTCCAAACGTGATCCCAGGCTTTCCTGTTTCATTTAGAGATTACAGATGCTGGTTTGAAATCTTTGATTGATTCATCCAATATTTCCTGTTTTCTTTTCATATTAGGCGAACTCGGCATCTGGAATGGCTGTGCATGATGAATGTAAGCTGAAATTTTTGGAGCTAAAAGCAAAGAGGAACTACCGGTTCATCGTTTTCAAGATTCAGGACCAACAGGTGGTGGTAGACAAGGTCGGCAGCCCTCAAGAAACCTATGATGATTTCCAGGCTTCTCTGCCAGCCGATGAGTGCCGCTATGCTGTCTTTGATTTTGATTTCATTACTAGTGAGAACTGTCAGAAAAGCAAAATTTTCTTCATTGCATGGTAACCGTATTAATTTCCTTTTTCCCAGAAAAAAAAAACAAAGGTAGGGGGATGGGGGGGGTCTTTCTTTCTCATTTTTGTACATGTTTTTTTGTAGGTCTCCCGATACATCAAAGGTGAGAAGTAAGATGGTGTATGCCAGCTCTAAAGACAGATTCAAGAGGGAATTGGATGGCATTCAAGTGGAGTTGCAGGCAACAGATCCTAGTGAAATGAGCTTTGACATTATAAAAGGCCGGGCGCTGTAAACGCTACTCCTGCGTTTCTATTCTCCAAACATTCACCCAGTCCTGAGCATTACGTTTTGTGAGCATTGTTTATTTGTACTTTTAAGAAATTTTCCTCTTAAACATTTTCATTTTTTGCTGTGTGGGTTTTACAATTTGACTGTGTAGTTTGAATGTACTAATATTATCCATCCCTCTTATGCTAAATACTTTTTCAATCATCTCTATTTCATCTTAGATATATGAATAGTTGATTGTGATATTGTTTCTTTGAAGTAAGGATCTGTCCACATTTACAATAATGGGTTTACTAAGTTTTAAGTGATAATTAAGATAAAAACCTTATGTTTGAATTATAACATTCTTCACCAAAACAATAACAACTACTATGTCAACCGAAATAGTGTCGAAAAACTGATTAAAGAGTAGAGTAAAAGAGTGTGACAACCGAACATCATAGTAGTAATTAGATATGCTTTATTTCCTCAAACCTGTCCTGCACATGGAAACGAAATTTCCATTGCAGAATGCAAATTATTGTTGAATTTTCTAGTATCAAGTTCATTGAACTACACTTGGTCCTTCCTGATTTGCTTTTCCACCACCAAACCCCACTTTCCGAGTCAAACTTTATGAGTCAAAGCCAACATATAGGAGCCAAAGATAGAATACGATGGCCTGGCCTACAAGTAATTTCCTGGCAACATGCATGTTGCAGTTCTCTTAGTTTCTATCTCACAATCTGCGGGCAATGGTGCATTTTTAGAATCACTTTTCAAAGATGGGTAAACTTTTCAATCTTGTTCTCTTTGTGCTTACCTTGTGCATTGAAATCGCACCCTTCTTTTCATGCCAAAATTCAAGCTTCACCAGTTGCATAGAAGGAGAGAGTCAAAGCCTTTTGAAGCTGAAGCAAAGTTTTGAAGATCCTTTCCATCGCCTATCTTCTTGGAAAGGCAAAAACTGTTGCATATGGAAAGGAGTAAGCTGCGATGAAAACAATGGGTATGTTGTCAAGCTTAATCTCCGAGCACCGTCACGGTTTAGTGGCGAGACTGTTTTTGGGAAAATTAGTGAGGAGAGTTCCTTAGTTGCTCGTGAGGTAAATTCTTGTTTGCTCGAGTTAAGTTATTTGGAACACCAGGATTTGAGTGGAAATGATTTCCAATACAGCGCCATCCCCCAATTTTTGAGTTTGATGAAACAGCTGGGATACCTTAATATCTCCAATGCTTGATTCAATGGAAGTGTTCCAAATAATCTTGGAAACCTTACTGGTTTACGTGTTCTTGATGTTAGTCATGATCAAGGACCGTCGTGGGCCTTGAGGGTTGATGACGTACAATGGATTTCTAATCTGTCATCTTTGCAGCATCTTGGGATGGCAGGTATATACCTTGGTGAGGCACCAGACTTCTTTGCGGTACTCAGCATGCTTCCTTCCTTGCCATCTTTACATTTATCACAGAGTGGGCTTAATAATTCCCATTTGTCTCGGCATCCTATTAATTCTACATTTCATAGGATTCGGTATCTAGATCTTGGAAATAACTATTTTACCTGTCCGGTACCTATTATGCTTCAAAACATGACTTCTCTTAGAATCCTTGATCTTAGCCTTAACCTTTTAAGTTGTTCAATCCAGAACAGCTTTGATAACCTTAAAAGCCTTGTGCATCTCAATCTTGCAGGTAATGATTTTAGTGGCATTGAGAAGGGGTTGATATCGATCTTAGGGAATATGTGCTACTTAAAATTATTAGATTTGTCATTTAACCAATTTCAGGGTGAGAAAATTGGAAAATACCGGAATTTATCTGGATGTGTTGGACATGATTTAGAGACATTAGATTTAGGGTCTGGTAGGATTGGTGGCCAAATACCAGATTGGCTGGGGATTGGTGGCCATATTCCAGACTGGCTGGGGGTGCTAAAAAACCTAAAATACCTTGGTCTTTCTGGCAATCAATTGAATGGGACCATCCCAGAAAGTCTTGGGCAACTTTCCAACCTCGAGACTATGGATCTTTCTCACAATTCATTGGAAGGTGCCCTTTCCGAAGTCCACTTTGCTACGCTCTCAAAGTTGAAAGTGTTGTCCATTAGCTCCAACAGTTTGACTATCAAGATAAAAGCCAACTGGGTCCCTCCTTTTCAACTGGAATACATTGAAATGGAGTCTTGCAAATTTGGAAGAGTTTCCTCAATGGCTTCAAACACAATTGAAAGCCACTACACTAGTTCTTTCCAATGCTAGCATCTCGAGCACTCTGCCAAATTGGATAAAGGACATGAATCTCTATGGGCTGGACCTCTCCCATAACCAGATTAGTGGGACGCTTCCAAACTTGCCTTCCAACTTGAAGCGGGTCGGTCTCTCCAGTAACTGGATCTCCGGGCCGCTTCCCGAAATTATTGGTGATATGTTGCCTCAATTGAGGTATTTGATTCTTTCCGACAACCTTATGAACGGTCCAATTCCTAACTCGTTGTGCCGTATTAAAAATCCGATAGCTCTAGAACTCTCGAAAAATAGCTTTTCTAGAAATATTCCAAACTGCTGGAGAGATCATCATGTTATAGAAGTTTTAGATCTATCATCCAACAATCTCTCAGGTGTTATCCCGAGCTCTATTGGGCATCTTGATTCACTGGGATAGTTGGACTTGAGCAAAAATAGTCTCAACGGAGAGCTGCCATTGGACTTAAAAAGTTACACATCTCTTAGACTGTTGGATCTTGGTGAGAATGCATTATCCGGAAATCCCACCATAACCTATTTTTGAGGCATCTGTTTATACTATTTTAAGTGTATCAGGGTCTGCTAGGTGTAGACAAGGGAGTTCTTTAACATGTTTTTTAATTTGTTGCACTATTTCAGTATGAGTTTTTATCCATGATATTGGGTTTTTCTTAAGTCTTTGATGCAAAAGTTTGCATATTTTACTTAATCCTGGGTAAAAGTCAATTAAATGTACCTAAATGGATTGGGGAGAGCTTTCAGTTCCTAAGAATTCTCAGAATATGAGAAAATAAATTCAATGGCAGTATTTCGTCGCAACTCTACCAACTCTCCGCTGATATGCATATCCTTGATCTTGCAAAAAACAATATAAAAGGGCGGATACCTCATTGCTTTGGCAACTTCACTGGCATGGTACTTTACCGCGAGGGAGATAGCTTAGCGTTAGAACCCTATCAATACTTGATACAATGGGAGGAAGAGCACTTAACAGAGGTCATGAAAGGAAGATTCCTTGAATACACGTCAACCTTGTCACTATTGGTTTATTTGGACCTCTCAAGGAATAAACTGAAGGGACAAATCCCTCAAAAGCTAGCTTTGCTGATAAGGTTAATTGGTCTGAATTTGTCTTATAATCAGTTGTCAGGAACGATACCCAAGAAGATAGGAGAACTTGAGATGTTAGAATCTCTAGACTTTTCAGTAAATGAACTTTCTGGCGTGATTCCAAGTAGTATGTCAACTCTGACCAAACTAAGTCACCTCAACGTGTCATACAACAACTTCTCGGGACAAATTCCAAATGGCAATCAACTCCAAACTCTTGATGATCCATCATTTTATGCTAGTAACCCTCTGCTCTGTGGCGCTCCATTGCTAAAGAAATGCTTGGATGATGAGCCTCATCAAGGCAACAACGACAACGGTAAAGACAACCCCGTAGAGAAGATGTGGTTTTTCATTGTCATATTGTCTAGCTTCGCAACTGGGTTCTGTTAATGTTATGAAGAGAGAAAAAGCAGTGCATATGTACTGGAGATAGTGATCAGAAAATTATTTCATTAATACAAAAAAACAAGGTTTATATACCTGGTCTACATAAAAACACCTGTACATATATTTGACAAGTATAAGTGTTGGCTTATATGCAAACCAACACATCAAAAGACAACTCAAATATAGCCTTAATATTAATTATCAGTACAACAAAGCAAACTAAATCAAAACAGAGGACAATGTGTTATCAGAATAACATCTACTTGCTACCACCATGCAAGTATTATTCCTCAACACTCCTCCATAATACTTGCATCTTGCACATTCATTTTGCTTCTCAAGTACTCGAATCTTGGTTTTCCTAATGCCTTAGTCATGATATCAGCTATCTGCAGATCTGAACAGCAATACTGAACATTAATTTCACCTAACCCCTCAGCATCTCTAATGGCATGAAACTTTACTTGAATATGCTTGGTTTTGCCATGAAAAACAGGATTCTTACTGATAGCAATAGCAGTAGGAAATTTTGAGAAAAATGCATATCAGTGAGCATTTTTCTCAACCAAATAGCTTGGTTGGAAGTTGCAGCAGTTGATATATACTTTGCTTCAACTGTAGATTGAGCAACAATGGACTGTTTTTGTGAGTTCCAGCAAAAGGCTCTATTCCCAAGAGTAAAAACATAGCTTGAAGTGCTATTGGAATCATCTCTATTTCCTGCTCAATCACTCTCAGAGTAAGCAGTAAGAAGAAAATTTAGATTTCTGGTATAACAGATTCCAAAGTCTAAAGTGCCTTTCAAATACTTCAGCACACGTTTTTTAGCTGTAAAATGAAGATGTGTAGGCTCTTTCATAAAACTAGACAGCAAGCTCACAGAGAACATGATATCTAGTCTTGAAGAACATATGAATAGGAGACTGTCAATCAAGCTTCTGAATTGAAATGGATCTTTTAGTTTGTTACCATTATGCACTGAAAATTTCTCATTTACAGCTAATGGTGTAGC